CATATATCAGACTCCCTAATCTATCAGTTCAAAATGAAAAATTCCAACGGGGCAAAATCGTGATATTTGAATAAAATTTTGGAAAATGTAAATATGCATATCATAAGGAGAAAATAGGAAAACTGAAGTTATTTAAGGAAAATCGGACTTCTTTTCTTTAACCGAAAAAACGCTACATTTCTTAAGCATGTTCTCAGATGATTGCTTGATTGTAACCTTCACTGCAAATTTACGAGATTTTAAATTGAAGGACTAGCTACCTTCTTCAGGTCAATAAAAATTCAGCTGGGTAAGTAGGTATGTACCCATGAGGTAACATATTTTAAATGAGGTAAAATTTAAAAATGTTAAGTTGTTCATTATCTTTCTTATATGGGGTGGGGATATTTTCTTCTTTTTTACAAATCATACGAATTGGATTTATATGAGCAAAAACAAATTTAAGGGCCGCAGCTACGATTTCAAGATTGGGAGGGGGTGTACACGAAAGCGGGGGGCAGATAAATCGCATACAAGATAAATCGCATACTCCCGTCGAAATCAGATAAATCATATACAGATGGATGGTGATTCGTATAATTTGCCAGTTTGTCAAACTGTTGGGCCATCGCGAAATGCATTCTGATTTCTGATCATTCATAACCCTTCTTTCCTAAAAATAATGTAAGGAATTTGTTTTCTTTTTTTTTTTTTTTACTTAATATCACCGATAATTCTCATTTGGATTATCAATTATTTTACCACTTATTCAAAAATATTCACAGGAAATTTTAAGATAATTTTTGAATTACCTACTTTTCCTTCGTAAAAATGAAGCAAAATAGGAAATACTTTTAAACAATACGAGTCAAGCATTTTCCCTTTCAAGCCAATGATATAAGTTACCAGTCCTAAACTTTTAGACTCGAGTTTTTTTTCACAAGAATCTCAACGCACATGTCAGGATCTAAATTTATTCTCAAGAAAGTTGCCTTCGTGCAATAGGCCCAAGGTTACCTAGAGCACCATGTACTTACAGCAACAATTTAGCTTGGTGTTGAAATCCCACAAGGATAAAATGTCATTACTGAATCGGTAAAAAGCGAACTAATCTTGAAATAATTCTAGAATGACATCTAGGAGCTTCTCTTTTTTCGTCCGAGCGTTTTCAAGAAGGTCACTCTGTTACTTTAGATTTCAAATCAAGGTCGATATCTAACCAATGTGCTGTAAATTGTACATTTACTAAAATATTCATATATTTTTCAGCAATTTTTTTGCGGTGCCTTCTCTCCATTCCGTTGAGAATATTGAAATCAATAACTTGAAAACAGTGTTAGTCCATACAATTTCAACAATATCAGTCAGGCAGGTAGAATACTCTGTGACAGAAGTCAGTGGCACACATATCAAGTAACACGGAATATAAAGCTGAATTGTGTGTAGTGTGGTGCGGCCTGGATTTTCTACCGCATGAGAATGTCCCTTTTCATCCAGATGGTAATGACACTTTGTATTTCTGAAGCAATTCTCTTACATCCACAAAAACTAAAAAATAATCTAACAGACACGGTTGTGGACGTTTGCAAAAACGCTGTGAAGCTCTCTAAGCAATCGTTCTTTTACGTTGTCAACACTGATGTCAGGTTTTCTGTAAGCAACATTTTGGAACGCTTGCATGAAAGTTCGATCACTACAACCGTCTGTGACAATTTCTGGCGTCTTGCAGAATTTACTCAAAGTTTTCGTCAAAAAAACATTGTTTTCTTTGTGAGGAGTTTCGAAAATATTCTCGATTTGATACTAGCTTCCTCAGCAAGGAGCACGAGCTACCGGCAGAATGATTTTAAAAATGGAAATGGAACTCTCCAATTATATCAAGGAAATTATTCTAAATTCAACTATGTTGAAGAGTATGTGAATGGGACCTTAACGAGTATGCCCAATTATTGCATTCATATTGACTCATTCTTCGGATTCGCGAGGAACAAACATAAATGCGATTTTGAATTGATCATTACCTACTCAGAGATGGAACATGGCGCAGAACTGAGCGACCATGTTCATAATGCTACCCGCGATCTATTCCGAAACCCAATTTGGAACTCTAAAAACCATCTGATCTTTGTCGTAAGTCCCTCCGAGGTTGGACTATTTTATTCGACAGAAGCGAGCAATGAGTTGAGGTCATCGCTGGAAGATAAACCTGTGGCCGGAGGGAAAAGGGCGCAGATAGGGTCGGAGTTGCAGTTCCTCTTCAAATTTATGTGGCGTTTCTTCAAAGGGATAAAAACTGTTATTTGCCTCCAGGTGGATTGCTTCTACTACAACCCGTTCGCGAAACGTGTGTTACGGTACCCAATTTCGGGTGCCGACAATCAAGTCAACTTTGATTGGAATGACTGGGGTGGTTGGCAATTTTCGGTCAAAATTGCTGCGGAACCTGGCGCAGAGAGAGCCTCTATGTTCACTCTCTGGGAAGATATTTTGTCCGAAGCGCTTGAAGGTGTTCAAGAATCCAAAAAATGCGTGTTTTTCCCATTCGAAGAAACGGAAGGATTCGATTATTACGAGGACGGTCAGAGATATGGGCCGGACATTCTTATCGCGACGCATGGGCTCAGTCCTGAGCACGGAAAAACCGATTTCGCAAATTTCGACGCGTTAGGCACCATTGAACACTGCAATTTGTGTATCGTGACCCCGCGTGCTGTTTTCGTACCCCAATTCTTGGTTTTTATTAAGTGTGTCGACCCCTCCGTTTGGTTATGTTTCTTGATGTCGGCTCTCGTGCTTTTACTCATGCAATATTTATTCCAGTACTCACAGGTCAGAATATTCAGTCGGCTGTACTCAACCGTGGAGTTATTTTCTTACGAGGAGACGTCCGCTCTGCTTACCGCTTGGGAGTACTTCATGTGTGGGGCGCCAATGAGGCTTCTACTGGGACGCTTGCTCACGGGGAAAATCCTTTTTTGGATTTTTATCTTCGCTGCTTTAATATTTTCCACAGTCATTCAGAGTAGAATGTTTGACCTTTTAAGTGCTTACACGCGTTATTCAGAAATCGACACCGTGGAGGATTTAGCCGAGTCGGCTATGTACATACATGTCCCAGATATTGATACGTATTCAAATATGTTCCAACAATGGCCCCAATACGGAAAACTGAGGGAAAGGCTGATCCAAGATTTTTATTTTTACCGGAGCTTCGAGTATATTTATTCGGCCCCGACGAATGATGATTATATTTTTACCGGAAACTTGTCAAATATAAGCTCAACGATGATGTACGCAGAGTATTTTGACAGAGGCATTGCTGCAATAGGTAAAAACGAACTAGCGCACATGAGGATGGATGCTTATGTGCTGAGCTTCCCTGATATGTTTCTCTCGCAAGACAATTTCTTACTAAAGACCTTCTTCGTCCCGCAAGGGATGGAGGTTCATCGTGTTGAGGAATGTCTCCTCTCATACCCATATTCGTTTAAAATGCCGAAAGATTCGTTCTTCTTCGAGCCACTAAATGAGAAAATTGTACAACTTCTCGAGACAGGCCAAGTAAAGAAATGGCTCGAAAGTTTACTAACCGGACAGAGTGTTTCACGGGATGGGACTATGGTGGATCTAATTTTCGGCGTCGAACGCCTTTCACTATCGACGGAGGACGGGCCGAGACCTTTCAACATGGTCGATTTGCAGCTTGCATTCATCACCCTAAGCGTGGGGCATTTGATTAGTTTTTTGGCGTTTACAGCGGAGCTTCTTATCGACTTTGATGGCACAGCCGTTGGTAGATTTCTAGCCAGACTCAAGAGGTCAAGGGCGGTTTCACGATAATTGGAATAGTTGTGTTCCCGTAACAGACAACACATTTTTCGGTCGTATTTTTAGTAGAAATGATAATCACGCGAATTTTTTCGCAATAATCTTCAAAGAGTTACGTAGTATAACGCTTTCTAATGATTTATTGCTCTACTACTCAATTAATTATGTAAATTCCGAAAATGTGCTGTCTGTTACGCGGTAAAAAGTCAGCGTAATAGACAGCACATTTTCGGACATTTATGTATTAAAATCCAAAAGTAGAGCAATAAATCTTTAAAATTGTTATAACATGTAACCCTGTGTAGATTAATACACAAAATTCGAGTGATTATCATTACTACTAAAAAAATTACCAAAAAATGTGTTGTCTGTCACGGCAACAAAAGTGTTCCAGTTATCGTGAAACCACCGTCAAGAACTTTTTTTTTGGAAAAATGCATTTTTTATTTTAAGAGAAAACATTGCGAATGAGTGCTAATCATCGTTGTCTCATGAACGAAGGAACTTAACTCCATTCAAAGGTGGCAAAATTGACTCAAACAATTCGATTTTTTTTTACAAGAATGAACCTGTTCAATTTTTGTCCAAATTGTCATAATTTTTTCATTAGATCATTCATGAAATTTTCAGTCAGATTCTCCTAATGAAAATGCAATTTTCGAAGGGCGATTTGGCAACATTGAAATGGAGTTACGTTCCTTCGTCAATAGCACTACGTCATGAGCACTCCAAGCTCAACCAGTAACTTAAAAACGGATTAATCCATTGATAGCAAAATATTTTCAAAGAGAACTCGAATTCTCCCCGCTTTGCTCAAATTTGAATACTTTATGCAATGAGAAACCACTATTTCTGGTTCATTTGAAGATCAACATGTGCGCCATTAGTTTCCCTTTGCAGATGTGTGCTTTCACACTTGAGTCAGTAATGATGGTTCCTCATTGCAAAATGGAGAGAGTTGGCAAACGCACAAGTTCTTTTTTTATTTACCACCACACTGAAATCCTAATTTAGATTTAGCTTTTTAAAAAGTTTTTTCTTTGCGTTTAGTAAGCATTAATTTGTACATACACACGAGACACAAATTCCTTCAGTATTAATATCAAGATGTTATAATATAGCGTTTTTACATGTTTTGAAATCTTGAATGAAACTTTTCAAAAAACGTAAGTATTCATTAAAATGTATGAATCTATATTTCTTTATTCAAGGAGGAACTTAAACTGCATTTTTGAGAGACCGGTGTTGTTCGGTGCAAACTGTTGACATTGATTCGATTGCCCGCTCTTCGGCGCTTGCCTTGCAGACGGTAAACAGCTTAGGCAGAATGTGGCCAACGTAGTAGTTCTGAAATAAATCAAAGAGATTATAAAATGATTTTTTCATATGCCTTTCATGATACTTCAGAATTCTTTCTTTCGTATGTATTTAGACCTAAAATAGATTTGTTATTCCCAAGTTTAAATTGTATTAATCTTTCCTTACAGTGGGTCTAATAATTTTTCAAAAATAACCATAAGCTCACGGGAAAAGTCCAAAAATCACACAGAGAAAAAATAATTGCAAAAGATACCGGACTTCGGTGTATACCGAAGTTTTCCGATGTAGGTAAGCGAATTTTTCTTTGGTTACCTGAACCGAAAAAGTTTGGTGTTAGAAATGAACTAAAGTTCGGTATTTGCCACCGAATTTTTTTTGTGACTTTTTCCTCACAAGCTGGTTAAGCTCCACATGTTTAAGCTTTCTACCTCAGAAAGTACATACATACCACTGCATAAGCATAATTTGGAACAGATAAGTCATACCGATCTCACAATTCCATGTAAAACTCAAAATGGCCGTCGTTGTGTGACTTCTTTTCCGATCATATTTACATAAAAAATAGACTGTTTGAAAATTAGGTATAATACTTACACTGTTGTCAAAACAAAGCTTTTGGAACTGAATAGCTAGTTTTTTGAAACAGCGCCTGTGCTCAGTAAGTCAACCTTCAACCCTCCCATCGACAGATCCAAAATTTTATCCATAGTTTGATCCATCAAATTGCGATTCTGAAAACAATGTCATATTTATAGAAAATTAAAAAGCCGATACTGGTAGACCCGAAATTCAACAGTCAACAAAAATCAGAGATGGCTCTTGTTACCCATGAGGGAACGTCGGATCCCCAAATGTAAAAATTTCCGCAACTGCCGGAACACTAGTAAGGGGTTTCAAGTTTTCACTAGAAAGTCAAGATTCGCATTTTACACTCAATTTTTGATAAAAATAGCTTCTCTGAAATATTTGCATCCATATGCTAATCAGATACTTGGAAAAATTACAAATAACGTCATTTACGTAATATCTACTCCATTTGATCAGCGCCAAATGTCCACGCAATAACATGTTCATTCAGCACCAATCAAATGGATTTCAACCGCGATATTCATCAACGAGATATTAATCTCACTTAGGGGTTGATTTTCATACTTGCCGCTGCTTGAATGGCTTTCAGCGCATATTTTTGATGAGGAAACATACATAGTATATTTCAACTCGTACTATCTTTGGTGGCCCAATACTTCCTAACAGAGATATAATCGAAATTCCGACTCGAATTGTTTTAGCACGTCTCCGGTTTAAGATAAACATGCGTATCTTCATTGCAGCGTTTTAAAATTTCCCATCATAATGTATTTTTTAAAAGTTAAATAATAAAAATAATCTATTGAGAACTGAAAAATTCATGAAAAGATGTGTGGAGAAAATTTCCAGGAAATGCCTAGGAAAACTTTAAGGTTAGTTCCGTTAACAAATAAACAGTAAGCGGAGTCTTACACCGTTGCAACGAAATATACACATTTTTCCACTTAAGATAAATCGATATTCTTTATTATTCAAAGAATTACCAAAGAGCTATGCAAGTAAGGTCTTACACTGATGGTTTTTCTGTTAAACAGGTAAAACACGAGAGGAAATTTCACGGTACCTGCGTGAAATGCAGATCGGCTGTTTTTGACTAATTTTTTTTAACTACACACATCAGTCATTATTCATCTGCAGCGCAAAGTTTGTCCTCTTACAGAGGAAACTATGACTGAAAAAATTGGTAAATTAATGGTGTTGCTTATAAACTCTGATAGTCAAAAGTCACCATAACCGAAAATAGTGGTATTTTTACCATAATTTGAAATTGTCACCTTTGTCCATGTAATTTTGGAAACATTTTCACTGGATGATAAAGATTTGACTCTTAATGGTCATTACCACTATTGATCAAGAGTTCAAATGGAACATCACATCTAGTAATTTTAATCATAGTTTCTGCTCAATGTGATTGTAACTAAAAGCAAAAGCTCTCAAGGCTCACCTTTTTCAACAACCTAAGTTCTTCCTCGAGCCGTGTTTTCTCCTCCTTGGACTAGGCGTAGGAGATCTGTCCCTCCAACATTGCGACCGGGATGTCTATCTCGGCCAGTCCCTTGGTTTTTCCCTCCTGAAAATCGGCGTGATTAATTTCAATTGGGTCTCCCGTGTACATCTAATTAAAATGAATTCCGCCGATTCTGTCTCTCTCCTCAACCCGTCACTTCTCCACGCTCTGACTCTGTCCGCAAACTTTGAGCGAAGCCCAGTGATTAGAGTAACTGATATTTATGAGTATCTTTGCCCCTCCATCATTCTCTACTTTGCTTCGTCCGCTTCCCTAGGTATTGAAAACCGCCAAAAAAAATCGAAACTCTTCCCTGGTTTTTGCCTTTACGTGATCAACGCACCTGGGATATCTGGATTATGACGCATGGACCTCTTATTTTGGCCTTACCTAATAATTGAGAGGCTCGGTGGACAAGACGCATCAGCAGCCTGATTGTTGAAACATTAACTGGCTTTGTCGGCGCAATAGGACAAAGGCATAGCCCTATCCGCGCTGTGTAATATATCGATTTTCGATTCTTGTCGTGCCGACATAAATTTCAACAATCAGGCTGCTGTTCAGTTCTTTTAAAAAATTGACATTTTAATTATTTCAAGTAGAACTAGTCTTAACTCATACTCTGTGAACAATTCGCTCCCAAATTCCAATTGTTAAGCATCAAAAAGTCAGTTTGAACTTTCGTTCTGCCATAAGGATCCGTGTAATTTCGAAACTTCAAACACGTATCTCTCGAAATAGGATAAACTCCACTTATGCGCCTTGTCCTCCCAGCCCCTCAATTATTTTGTTCATTTGTGGCATCAACTGAAAGACTCAAATTTCAACAGAAGAACAAGCCCTGATATGGTTAACTGCCTTCGGATTCAAAGAAATGATGAGATTTGCAGGTGTATTTCATTATGATTTTTTGCGATTGGTGCGATCGAAAGGGGAAGCGTCATAATTTGCAAAAAAAAATACATTTTTTAATTATCCTCGTTTGCTTTACCTAAGCGATGAGTCAAAGGTATTCAAATGGTGACGCATTTATACCCTACGTAAACCTTCCGTTGCTTTTGTTTACGTACAGAATGGGAGGTATATAGACTGTTCTAATTTCACCTGAGCGTCATCCTGAAAATACTTCCCTACCACCTGGGTTTCAAATATATGATGATATTTTTCAATATTTGTTTCCTTTTGGTGCAATCAGGAATGGAATCGTGCAAAAGACCGCCAGAAATCATCATACTACTAGACATCTTTGAGTCAGTACTCTCTGAGATATCCAGACATCAATGCATTAAATTTCTACATTGACCCTCCCCCTGTGCAGCAGTGGAATTAAGACTCACGAGATATTAAAATTTTACCGAAGGAACAAAACACAATGTATTAATACCCCTCGGATACAAATTAATGATGAGATTTATAGTTATTTTCTTGATGTTTGCTGGATAAACTTGATGGATACAGACTCAACGACCTGTTGCGCGTTACATTGCCAAGACGAGAATGAAAAGTAAAGACGTTTGACACAATCTGAACACCCACGACTTTTTTGCACAGGGCAAATGCTCATAAGGGTCATCTTTGGTTTTACAATTGGTCGAATATTAAAAATACTTGAACAAAATTTCTTTGAGACAATAATCACTTTCCATCATCAGCGCTATGAGAATCTAACTTAGTATCTTGCACATTTTTTGCATGGCAAAGAGTGTAATGGGTGTCCGAGGTTTGGTATCTCCCTGTTATCCAGAAACTAGTAATCGGAGAAACTAACCTAAAATTAGTAACTTTCAATCGTATTTGTTCCAGTTTTGGGGAAAGATTAGATCCCCCTTAGTGCATTACGAGGAATAAAATGTATTAATATTATTGACGACGATCTCTCTTCTCATACAAATGGTTAGCTTTTGTGCATCAATAAATTTAATGCACTAAGAACTTTAATGATGCATGACTGCACATAACTGATATTCAACCACATAATTACATGATATGAACAAACCGTAGCAAGTTGCGATTACATGGTAAAATGATTGCTACCGCATTAGGGTGTTGTATGTGTTGCGTATCTAGTAATTGAAGGGGCTCTTTTTATCAAAGTTCTGTGAAATAAAATTAAAATTGTGGCATATTGCTATTTCATTGCAATTATCTATGCTCCTAATACGTGAGACTCATTACGAGGGGCGTTCAATAAGTAAGTATCCCCCCCTCTCTAAAATCCATAAGAATGGACCAATTTTAAAAAACTTGGGCTCAAAATCTTCCTTAGGATATTTTGAGGTCAACAAAACAAACCGCAACAAAATCGGACTATGTGCGGCCGAACGCGAGCCGTTTGAACGCGCCGAGGTGCTCGACGCTCCCGCCGAATCCGCGAGGATTTGAAGTCCGCTACAGGAGAAGAGCTTCTCTGCCAAAGCCTCAGTCGTTCATCACTGACGAAAAATCAAAGAAATTTTTGTAGAATAAGGGGCTTGCCTCAGTTCTCCACATAACCAGCTCGATCCAAGCAAGTCTGATACTGAGACTAAGACTAAGAGAACAGCTTTTGGATGCCTCGTGCGTAGAAGTCTTTCAGCTGACCGCGGATGAAAGAGAGGACGGCTTGTTTGACCTCTTCCACTGATTCAAAATTAACTCCTCCGAGTTCAGATTCCAGGAACGGGAATAAATGGTGGTCTGGTTTGCCATTTATTATCGTATCTGAAATCTGAACTCGGAGGAGTTAATTTTGAATCAGTGGAAGAGGTCAAACAAGCCGTCCTCTCTTTCATCCGCGGTCAGCTGAAAGACTTCTACGCACGAGGCATCCAAAAGCTGTTCTCTTAGTCTTAGTCTCAGTATCAGACTTGCTTGGATCGAGCTGGTTATGTGGAGAAGTGAGGTAAGCCCCTTTTTCTACAAAAATTTCTTTGATTTTTCGTCAGTGATGAACGACTGAGGCTTTGGCAGAGAAGTTCTTCTCCTGTAGCGGACTTCAAATCCTCGCGGATTCGGCGGGAGCGTCGAGCACCTCGGCGCGTTCAAACGGCTCGCGTTCGGCCGCACATAGTCCGATTTTGTTGCGGTTTGTTTTGTTGACCTCAAAATATCCTAAGGAAGATTTTGAGCCCAAGTTTTTTAAAATTGGTCCATTCTTATGGATTTTAGAGAGGGGGGATACTTACTTATTGAACGCCCCTCGTATATTAATTGTTTAAAATCGGCATTCTTTGACCAAATGATGAACAGATACTAAAATAAATTTTATGGTTGAAAAAAATAGCAATTTTATCGTATGAAATTACAAGTTTTTTTTTAAAAAAAAAAATTGCGTTACACTGTGTCACTCAGTTAATAAATTACTTACCTAGCCCGGACTACTTTCAGCCTCTGTGAGTCCTCCTGTGAGGATCTTTAATTTTCGTTTTACACCCACTTCTTCTGTTCCAGATGCGGCCGTATAAAACTGAAAATGCAGGACTTCATTCCCTTCCTTTCATTGAACAGGGGAACTTTCTTTACTTATTCCTGTTCTGTCTCCTTTATACCTCCACCCAAATCTTCCCACTTTTGTTAGCTCCTCCAGTCAAGCTGGTTACAGCCAAAATGGCCATTTTTTACATACTTCGAATAGCTCCATAAAATAGGAAGATGTGTCAAAAGTTGCGCCTCATAAAAACCTAAGTATGATTTCACTTGACTCGCCATTTTCTAGATGAGTGAACGTGAATTAATTAGGAGGATGGAAAGTTTCGAGGATCCTTTCTCTACACGAACATAGAGGATGAAGAATCTTTCTTCTTTCAACTACTTTTCTAGTCGACGAAGTTGCAATGTTATGTTTGTGAGAACAATTAGTTTGATCCCAATATTAATTCCGCATGAGGACTGTAAAGCAACGGTTATTTTTCCTCCTTGCAAATTTTGAAATTTTTTCCAACATTTTACTGAGTTTCACCTGCAATCTGGAAAAGAGAAAGAAAAAAAAATATTCAAGAACATACTCCTAACAGTTTCCGAGTAAAAATGCGGATCGCGAGTGCTCCTCTATCTGAGAAACGACGAACTGTATCATAGGCTTTGATCCGATCTTCCAATATGCCATCACTTGTAGTTACTATCTTATTTGCCTGTACATCGCTCTATCATTGAGAAAAAAGTGGGTCTTATAAACCTAACGTTCGATGTTCCGTATCGATAGCCAAAGTGCGAAACTACGTATCTCCGTTCGCAACGTTTCAGACCTCCCATCATAGTTCATAATTTTCTTGGAAAACTATAGTTAACGTAATCCGTCAAAAGCTTCATTGATTTTTCCTCTCCATTAGAGGAATATTCTGTGAAAATTTCAGGCTATGAAATTAGCTTGTTTCTCCTCGAAAAAATAAACTAGTAGCGGGCATTTTTAAATACTAACGGAGGTACATGGTTTCGCATTTTAGGCGTCGATGTCATTCCAACTATTCGGGTTGTCGAATTAAACTTCGGCGGTGAAGTGAAATAACTAAGGAGGTTTGGTTACATGAACCGAGGGTTGTTACACAAACCGGAAATTCAATTTGACAAATCGAGAAGTTGGTATGATATGGAACACCGAGAGTTTGATCCATATGACCCAACTTTTACGCACGATTTTCTTGTCAAACTCATAATCCAAGAAGTTTATCTGGGATAGCTTATTTCGTATCAAGGGGGAAAGAAATGAACTCGCTCATTGAAAAAGTATAGTCAGTTTGCTTTTTTTCCATTTCCAAAATTTTAAGTTCTACCTTCTTGGCCCTTAACTAACTGATGTGACGAGTTAACACCCCGGATCAGACGGCTTCTCTTAAACTTTGCCTCGTTGATGGTCTGTGATTACCCGACCTCTTTATCTCTTCGCCCAGTAACTTCAAGCCCGCTTGCAAGGAGCTTTGAGTCGTTTCATGTTGATTGACGCACTTTAATCAGTAAATTACAGTGCGACTTGGCAATCGTTGACGATGTGATTGTGGCTCTTTACGTTATCACCATACACCACTTAATCAGACAAGTCAAATTCAGTGCATTACTTCAATGCGCAAGTACATGTGAAAGGGGAAAAGGAAAAGGCAGATAAGTCTAAAGATCTGACAAGAAATCCGGAATCACCCTCCGCAGCTCAGTTTGGTTTATATGTAACACGACTCCAAAAGAGAGGAAACTGAGTTTCCCTCCTCCGCGTAAAAAACCGCAGGAATTTACGTGCCTTCGAAGCGTTCAAAACAACTTTGTGCCCCATTTGACACTTAAAATTATTGAAAAAACTTACCTGGTTTGAATCGGGGAAAAAGGTAGGTTTCTGGGAGCGAAACTCAACTTTTCTTGATCCGATAACAGTCCAGTGTTGCCTTTACAACCTGTTTTTAGTGCTTACTATTATACTCATTTTATGTTGGGAAAGATCTCAATGCGTGCTAACGGCTCCCTGTAAAATGTTTCTACTATTTTGTGTGTGTATCCTTCACCAGGTAAGCGATAACTAGCAATAATGAATAATTTGTAAATAATAAGTTGGCCTCGAAGTTAGTCAAGTTTTCAAATCATCATCATCATCATCATCATCATCATCATCGTCATCATCATCATCATCATCATCATCATCATCATCATCATCATCATCATCATCATCATCATCATCATCATCATCGTCATCATCATCATCATCGTCATCAAAGGTTTTAGAGAGCCCTAATCAAAGATCCCTTCTCTGAAATTCTGTATGCATGTTTTCAGCATTATCTATCTGCATGATTCCCAAGTATGCATCCCTGATTTCATTTTAAATATTACGTTTAAAAGAATGAAAACTTGATTTTTCTATCATTGTTTTGTCAAGAGCTCTTCGATTAAAAGTCATTTGGGAGTGTGCAACTTAGATGTGTACTTGAAGCTATTCAAAAGTTTCAGTCAGAGTGTAATTTTATATTTGAAAAATTTGTTTTCCAATTTATTGGGGTTGATAATTTCCAAATAAAAAAATTGTTCGAGTATTTTCTAAATTGAAATTTTGCTTAATCACTCGTTATTTAAAAATTGATCATTCAAATTCGATTTGTTTGGTGTGAAGAGACAGTATTCGTTTCGAATTTGTTTTAGAAAAATTCGATTTGTTTGGTGTGAGGAGACAGTATTCGTTTTGAATTTGTTTTAGAAACATTAATAAATACACGGGAAAAAACTATTTAAATTCGAGGGTATGAATCCCGACAAAAAGAGGCGTATGATTGTCTAAAACCATGAATTATTGCAGGAAGATGAAGACACTAATTTTAATTTTTCTATTCCAGACACACGGACTCTCAGTGCCACTAGACTATGGGTCCAGTTTCCCTTCATCCCTGCACTTTCAACCTCTAGAGGTGAGCCGACCTGTCGAATTTCAATTTTTCATTTCGTACTTAAAATATAAACCGTCTATGACCTCCGTTAAATTAATTTGAAAGTTCATGCACACACGAAAACCCATTGCAGAAAAAGGGCTTGGGGACGTGAAAAGGACGAGAAGAGGCATAGACGGACCTAGGCACTTCGTGCGCGAAAGGCGGAAGGGGGGTCCGAAGGGCTTCCTGGAGAAAATTGTACAAATTTTATAGCGCTTCTAATATGCAATTTAAGTCAATTTTGTCATGAATTATCACCGAATATAGGAGTTCTTCCCTTTTTTATCTTTCGTCCCTTCGTCTTCTCTTTCTTCCCTTTATCTTCCTCCTTTTTTCGCGCGAACGTACTTATGCACGTGTTTCTCAAAATAGCAAAACCTGCACTTATCGTCGTTCCTCTGACGTAAGGGCTTATCTCGATTTCCGAATGAACCCCGAAAAGCATTGAGTTATATGGAGAACAGGGTTCAAGTGGAAATCGAGGTACGCCCTTACGTCAGAGGAACGACGTTATGTGCCTTCTCTTCCAAGCCCCCCATTTCTACAATCTTGCATGGTCGAGAGTAACTAATGGCCCTCGGAAAGCTGTACTGCAAAAAGCGATCCCTATACCCACAGGTGCCAACAAATATTCAGTCTGAAAACTACTCCTTTTTGAAGATTATCTGGTTTCCTCTCTTCCTCAATTTCTTTTTGACTGCTTTCGTTTCATTTAATGTTTTATTTGTGCTTATTTCAAAAGGCATTTCTCGAAGAGGATCCAATCACGAAGCCCCCGCGGCCCATGTTCAATGTCACCCATAAAATTTTTATGGACTTCAAGCAAGGAGACAAAGATTTGGGGCGCATCATATTCGGGCTCTTCGGTGAGGTCGCCCCCAAAACTGTGGAGAACTTCAGGACCATTGCAACAGTCGGTATCAATGGCAAGACATACGCTGGCACTAATATTTACCGGATCGTTAATAAATTTTTGTTTCTAGGTAAAATCTCGCAAGTAACCTTCTGAAAATCGGATACGAAGAAATAAAATAGGTACATAGGTTTCTATTTAGAACTTAAGAGAGAAAACAAGGACTCGACCAGTGCTTCATCTTAATTCTCTCTCTAAGATTTTTCATAAAGTATTCACTTTAAGATAAAAACAAGTACTTACCTCTCCGCTTCAATGAGCAGTCGTCTTTGTACCGATTACTGTCATCACAAAGGATTAGCTGCAGGCACCTACGAGGGGAATAAAGGGGGATTCACAACCATAAAATAATGATTTACCAAAAAATGACTTGTAATAAGTCAAATTAATTGCTTAATCCTTAGATGCCGAAGACTTATTCTTTTATACACAAAGCCCCAAGTCAGATCAAATTGACCAATATTTAAATATTGATAGTTTTAGAAGTATTATCTATGTTATTACTAGATTTTGATGGTAAGAAATTTTGTGTGCTGAAATATCACCTTTTTTGACACACGGGCGCTTTCTCACCGAGTTGACTCGGCTTGAGATTTTTAGAGGTAGTCGTCAAAAACACAACTCTCGCCTAATTACAAAATTTTAGACGGCACACTTCAAGGCGCTTGGACGACCGATGAACATGTTTTTTCTTCTTTCTTTCGCCTCAAAATGATTCTTGATTTGGACACACGTCATAGCATAATTTTAGAAAACATAATTTTAAGTTTGCTCACATTTCAAAGATGAGAGACACCTCAATACGCGTTGATGGCGCAGAGATACGACTATTCGTGCTGGATGGACGTCCATGCGGCATCTACAAAATTGAAGGCGCGACGGCACGAAGCGTGAACCCGCAATGCTCCGCTACATGCTGCCAAATGAGGTGTCGTTCAGGTACGGGAGAAAAGTTTAAAAAAGAGGCCTGATTATGTCACTCCTATCTGCAGCTTAGCTGCTCGCGTGGCCCTTGAAGCACAGATACGAATAAAACAACCGGAAGCAAAGAAATATAGCAAGGTAAAGGACGCGCGTTGGTGACGGCGCAGAGATACAACTATTCGTGCTTGATGGATGTCCGTGTTGCATCTACGAAATTGAAGGCGCGATGGCGCGAGGCATGAACGTGCTCCGCTGTATGCTGATGCTGCCAATGAGATGTCGCTCAGATTCGGAAACAAAGTTGAAAGACGAAGCCCTAATGCTTCTCTCCTACTTTGAGCTGTGTTGACACTCGAGTTTCCCCCTTTTTTTCAAGTTGACGTCTGATTTTTTTTTTGAAAGGATGTATACAAATCCATCCTATTTGAAATGTAAAGTAATTGATTATTCCGAGTAAAATTAATCTTAAAATGTTTTATGCACCTAATGTTAATGACATTTTGGAAGAGGAGTTAAAGACTCACATGAGCCGTTTAAACTAAAATCAAAATTCATGTGATTTTTTAGCCCTACATAGACCTTGAAGTCACAGGAATGTCACGTTAAATATGATCTTTTCTCAAATATAGTATACGTCGAAAGATCCATAGTTAGTCTTAAACGAAATTACGACGACCAGAATGGACCACTAGACAAGGAACGAATTTAAGCAATCTAATACATGTTTCCTAACCAAAATTTTACGTAGAACACGATTCGCACAACGAAAATGACTGAACCAAACTTCTAACTACGATATTAACGTTTTTGTTTCACATTGGTTACGAGGAATTTGAACTGCCCGCTCACAAGAAACTCAAAGCTCTACGTGAGTCAAATCGCGCACTACGACGGTTTCAGCAAGCTTCTAAGTCGAGCAATATTGATGTCCCACCATGTGTTGTTCAAACTATAAGCAATTTGCTATAACTGAGCCAAAGCGTCAAGATTGAGGTTGCCAGATTTGTATATCGTAGAGACTGTCATGATAACGTTCAGCGCGCGATGTGAGTCACGTAGAGCATTGAGTTTTAATAAGCGGGTGATTTGAATTCACGCATCAAGAATCGTTTAATATTTTTGCAAGGAATTGATTTCGGTAATTTTCGTTGTGCGCATCGTTTTCTACGTGAAATTTTGGTTATGAAACGTATATCAGAATGCTGAAATTTGTACCTTGTCTAGTGGTCCATTGAACTATGTATCCAGCAGAAGGTAAAAAAGATCGTGAAGGCATGCGTATGATTCATCTGCTCGCAGGTGGAGATATCGTGAACAACGACGGCACAGGAGACACAAGCATCTACGGCGGCACATTTCCGGACGAGACTCATGTTGTTCAATTTTGGGCCCCTGGATTCTTAGCTATGTACAATCATGGTAATGAATGATTCGTTTCATTTTCTAATGTTAGTTTGCCTCCTAGCGTACTTATTTTAAAAGAATTTGAGTGTAAATTGTGAATTCACACAATAAATTTTAAAAAATAAAAAAAAGAATAATGGTACTTACGTACTAGACTTTCTAGCAATATACATCTAGTAGCCAGGAACTGGCCGGCGGCTAGATTTTGTTATGATGTTATGATTTGTTTGATCGCTCATGCGATAAAAATATCAAGGAATAATTAAAATATTCATTATCCAAGCGAGAGATAAAAAAAATTTTAAACAGTACGGTTCTTGGTAGGTTTCTCTTGTATATGAAAATTAGAATTTCCAAATTTTGAAGATGTTGTACGTTATGAATTGTTTTAAGCAATTCTATATTGTATTTTATTTCTTGAGTTTTTTTTTTAATTGATTCTAAAAACATTAAAGCTTCCTGCTAATATGTTTTTTGTTCATTTAGACTATACTTTCAACGTTATTTCGAACACTTATGTATGTATAAGCCGCTTTTACGGCGCGCTAGGGCGCTCTGCGACGCCCACTCTCCACAGAAATCTGTCATGGTAGAGTTTTACCGGAAGCTACTATTCCGAACAATTCTATCTCTAAATTTTGTTGGGTGATCCTCGATGTGCTGCAGAATGATTTGAGCTTGAGAGCTCTGAAATAAAATTGTGTCTAAATTTTGAATGTATCACAGTTTAAATCGTTGAAATTATGGGAATGAGTCACACTCGAAGATTGTAGTGGAGTTTATTAATACAAATTTCACTGCCTGTAAACTAGGTAAAAACAAAAATGGATGCCAGTTCTTCGTTACGTGTATGGCCACTACCTGGCTCAGCGATGTATACACCGGGTTCGGAAAGGTAAGAATAGGTTATAGGACATTTCGTCAACGATTTTTGTCCCAGCACTTGTTTTTTCCAGTAGTATAAGTCCAGGCGTTTTTTCGGCTGGGGAGTTTAGGTCCACTTACCATTTATTGAGAGGCATAGTTATAAGAAACATATTTTCGGGCAAAATGAGAGATCGCGTTTCTCCATTTGCGACGTTGCAGACTTCCTTAGAAATTTTATTTTTCTTTCGAGAAGCTGGTCAACATATAACTTAAATTCTCCATGATTTTTCGTATTCGATAGCAGAAGATTTGGTTAAAAATTTAAAGTGATACATTTGGATTGTTTCTCATTGAAGATATGAATTAAGAGCGGAAATTTTGAAACACCGCAATGGAGATACGTGGTTTCGCACTTCAGTCGGTGCGATACGGACAGCCATCAAGTTTAAAAAGTTGCATCAAAACCCCGTCACCGCCGTCCAACGCGTTTGTCGATCGAATCAACTACAGGTAGCATGAGCAGGGAGTCAAAACGCCTTCAATTTTTTGAACGCAATACGGACATCCGTCGAGGTTGTATAGTTGTATCAAGGCGCCGTAGCAAACGCGTCCCATTGTTTATCGTTACAGACGAATATAAGTTGAGAGAGGCCAGTCATAATGCCTTCAATTTTATCCATACATATTTTCGGGCAAAATGAGAGACGGCGTTTCTCCATTTGCGACGTTGCAAACTTCCTTAGAAATTTTATTTTTCTTTCGAGAAGCTGGTCAACATAAAACTTAAATTCTCCGGGCATGCATTGTATTCTGGGGAAACAAGCCCTCGGAGTCTGCTCTTCATCATTATAAACCCGCAGCAGATTTAGTCTGTATTGAATAAAATCGGTCTCGTTTCCTAAGAACTGCGATCATGGATACCTAGCCTACCCTAGAATTTTTTCTGTTCGGAGGTAGGAGGTGGTCCCGTTTAATCATTGTGGAAGTCTAATGGTATCAGTGGCGTAGCGTGCTTTGCGATATATCGATTGATCTGCCATTTAAACCTGTGAAAAAGGATCGATTATCAAACTATTCGCAACAAACACCTTAATAATCGATTCTTTACCATGGTTTCAAATGGCGATATCGCCATAACTGATATATATAACTGATATCGATAATCCAACATTCCCGCCTGCATGGTATCGAGAGGCTGCCCACGGTCACAACCCGAGAATATTTCAGAGAATCCACATAATCTGTCCGAGTAATGATGACGTGTGAGGATGAGTAACTCTTCAACTTCGATACTTTCCTGTATTTAATGGCTGTGATGTTCGCCTCAGGATAAAAGAGTACCGACATTAAAATTAATTTTTTCAAGTAGGTAAACTGCTAATCACTAAAAGAGCCGGATCTACTGGGAATTATTAAGTTATACCACGCGATTTTACAAGAGGCGTAATTGATATGTTTATCTCTTCTGAAACCTTCTTTTTAAGGTGCTTTTTGGACTTAGGACCGTGGTCCTGATCGAGAAAACTGAAGCAAATCGGCAGGGGCAGCCCCTTGTGCCGATCACAATAGTCAAATGTGGAGAACTACCCCTTGACACACCTGTTTCTGCGATCAGTCAAGGAAGCCTCAATCGTTCAAAAGTCAATGTCAATCCTATCAAGTATGTCTATGGTTTTTCATACTTGAAAATGTTGTATCCTTAAACAATACGAGTTCTACTATATGGGTTTTTCAAATTACCAGGTTTAGGTATTGGTTACCTGTGAGTTATCTTTTCGTCCTGGAGTTTCTTGATTAATTCTTGTCTTAAGCGATGTACATTTCGGAAGAATTATTTCCTTCTTCAGGCCACACAATTATTTGACTAGCACTAAAACATTGTGCGCGTTCGAAATTGCGAGACACGCTAAAATATTAAAATCGGAAAAATAAAAAATAAAACACACGTATAGACTAAACAAAAATTAATTGACCATGAAACCGCACGGGTCGCGACCGATATATTACTCATGATAACTCATAATTTCAGTACATAATAAATCGGTCGCGACCGGTGCAGTTTCATGGTCAATTAATTTTTGTTTAGTCTATGCGTGTGTTTTATTTTTTATTTTTCCGATTTTAATATTTTAACGTGTCTCGCAATTTCGAACGCGCACAATGTTTTAGTGCTAGTCAAATAATTGTGTGGCCTGAAGAAGGAAATAATTCTTCCGAAATGTACATCGCTTAAGACAAGAATTACTCAAGAAAAACCAGGACGAAAAGATACCTCACAAGTAACCAATACGAGTTCTATTTACAAGATATTCTTAGAGTAAATGATCGTACTGCAGAAGCGTATTTTATGGGTCTAAATGCAACTTTTCCTACTCTATTGGTTTGTTCCCCAAAAATGCCACCGTTCGAGCCCGTCTCCTCGTTTTTTTAGACAATCGCGTTGTTAGAACCACAGTCGTCCTATGCGCGCGATAATGCATTCGGACGGATGATAAGTGCCTTCAATTTGACATGATACCGTACCAGACGCAGGAGCTCGATAAGTTGCGTTCTCATAACAAATAGTTTTTACGAGAGTTAGTGAAGGGGTAAGAAGCAGCTGTAAACATTGCGGATGGACAGTGCTCTGGTCACATTTATTTTTATTAATGGTAAATCAGTAAATGGACATAGATCTTCGAAAATATTGGACTCCCTAATCTGACAGTTCAAAATGAAAAATTACAACGGGGCAAAATCGTGAAATTTGAATAAAATTTTACAAAATGTATTTAATGTAAATTGTAATGTAATTATGCATATCATGAGGAGAAAACTGACAAGTATTGTTTGTTGGGAAAATCAGACATCTTTGACCGAAAAGACCGCTGAAATTCTCAAGCATGTTTTCAAATGATTACCTACTTGAATGAAATCTTTTTTCAATTAAAGGGGCTCCTAAACTACATTAGCAGATTTTTAATTAAAGGAATAGTTACTTTCTTCGGGTCAATAAAAAATTCAGCTGGGTAAGTACTCAGGAGAGAAGATTTTAAATGAGGTAAAATTTAAAAAAGTTCAGTTTTTTATTATCATCCGGTGGGTGGAGAGGGGGGGGGGGGAGAGACTACAGTCTTCTTTTCAAATTATATGAATTGGATTTATTAGGGCAAATTTTAAACAGGGCGGCAGCAGCTACGATTTCAAGATGGGGGGGGGGAAGGTTGAACGTGGCGCCACCTGGCGGCATACTAGACAGACAAGTGTCAACAAACCTGAGGTTTGAGGTTATGTAATGTGTGGCATGCTCGAGTGAACAGATTGGCCCAGATATTCCGGACCACATTTCACCAAAAACTGCTGTTTGTCAAACCGCCGTCAACACCTACCAAGCGGCGAGTAGGCCTTCGGCCATGCTCGGCAATCTTCGTAGCCAATCAGGTTGCCGCTCGCCGCCCGTAATCTCGAAGAAGGTTCGGCTCCTCTCCTACACCACCCTACACTTTTCGAATTTTGGATTTTGGCAATCGGCCTGATTCTCTTTTCCTTTTTTCCGTAATTAATAACAATAAAAAATTCATTTAATCATTACTTAGCGGCACCTTGTCCAATTTGTGCCTAGCGCCTCTACAACTTAGCAAATTTGGACGTAACCTTTTGAACATTTCATCCCTTCCCTTTGAAATTACTTAGAATAAGTACACTTCACATATCACACGGGACTTTTATCCGCATATTTACTTGGCTTTATTCGCAAAGGATCTTTTAAGAAGTAAATTCTTTCGATAACTTATTGGGGATGGTCAAGTCACCAATTAGAGCCCGTCATTCCATGCCATTATTAATACAGGACTAGGTTTCTTACCTATAATTTGATGGGCACCGTGAGAATAATAGATAACCACAGTATTTGATCCGTGCCTTAAAAAATGAACTGCTGGTGGCAGAACCATCTTGGTGATGTTCATTAGGAATTTTAGACTTTATTCTATTTTTTCAGCAGATGAACCTTACATGGTAACTTGTAAAGTCTTGCCTCATTTTCCTTGAGTTCTACTTAGTTTGATGCCAAAAAACAAGAAAATTCATGGAGAAACGTGCCTTAAAGGTGAT